GGAAAGGCACAGTGGAGGAAGCAGAGAAAGAGAAAGGGCGGGGGGTGAAGAAGTGGCCTCAGACAGAACAACCCTTCCAGGTCAAATCCTCAGTGACTCACCTCCTGCAGCCATGCCCCATCTGCCTACAGTTACCACCCAGTCATTCAAATTAAGATGGACTGGTTAGGTAATCGTTCTGACAATCTAATGCCTTTACCATTGAATGTTCGTGCATTAACAGAATTGATGGGAGAAACCTCACAGCCAAACCATCACATTCCATCCCAGGCCCCCAGAAACTCACATTCATCTTACAATACAACATGCATTTAGACCATCTCCAAAAGTTCCACATTTTAAACAGTTTCAGCATTTCCCCAAAGTCTACATTTAAGTCTCCCCTGAGACTTAAGGCAAACTCTTAATGTGAGCCCCTGGAAAAATCAAAAGCAAGTTACATACATCCAATAGACAGTGGCACAGAGTAAACATTCCAAAAGGGAGGAATGGGGGCATGGAAAGAAGGGATGGGACCAAAGCAGCACTGGAACCCAGCCAGGCAAACAGGTCTGGTGGGTCCATGCACAGCACCTAGGACAGATGTGGTGGTGACGCTTTCTTTCCTAAGGGCTTGAGCAGCGGATCCTTTGACTTTGCTGGTTGCAGGGCACATGGACTCTCTTCAGCCTGGCTCTCTGCAGCCAGCAACCTTTCTCAGCAGGCAGTTTACTTTATTGCCATCTCTTACTTCCTAGGGTCTCCATGCCAGCTTTGGCTTCACCTTCACAGCTCTACCCATGACCCTCTCCAGGGCAGTCCACAGGGTCAGTGACGCTGCTACACGTTTTCACTTGAAATCTTGGTGGAAGCCTCTGACCCCTTAATGTTAACATCCTGATTTCCTGCAGCACCAGTGCCATGTGGATAATGCCAAAGTCAGCTGCCAGCTTGCACCATAGCTGGGCCCCTGAAATCATGGCTGCAGCAGCAGCCTCTGGAGTGCTGGTGTGGCTTAGCAAAATGAAACAACTTGCTAGGCCTTCTTCTGTGAGAAGGGTGCCCCCATGATCTCTTCTCCAAGGAATGTTCTCTTCTGTATACCCCCCACCCCCAGTGAGTATGGTCTTGCAAATTCCTGAAATGCCCTCAAGGCATCTTTTCTATGTCTGCATGCAAATTACTTAGCCTCCCTTTAGGGGCTGAACTCTCTTTCATGAGCACAACTTCCTTGGTCCCAGCTTTACATGCACTTTTCTGGCCAACCTTCAAGTTTTTAGGACTCTTTAGCTTTGTTTTTTCTGCTCTCAATCCTCATAATAAACATGGCTAAAAGCTGCGAGCAACGTCTATGCCACTGATTGAATGCTGTGCTTGCATCACTTTTAAATTTAGGCTCACATACATTCTCAGGACATAGACACAATGTAAACAAGTTCTGCCAGATTATAATACAAGTGGTTATTAGTCCAATTCCAAATAGAGTGCTCATTTCCCTCTAAGGCCTCCTGAGCACAGTGTGCACTCTTATTGGTGTCCTGTTCTCTGAGCTGCCACCAGAATCTCCCATTAATCTCCACTTACAATATTCTAAAGCTTTTCCAGCCTGCATTTCCAAACTTCAAAATTCCTCCCTCTTCCCAACCAGCTTCTAAAGATTCTGAACCAAATGATCAGGTTAGCCACAGCCGCAACCCCACTTTTGTTATCCGTTTCCGTTTTAGTCTGCTGTTGCAGGACTGTGACAAAAATAGGCTTGACAAGAACAACTTAGAGGAGGACAATTTATTCAGGGATCATCGTTTCAGCCACAGTTGACTCCATCGCTATGGGCCCAGGGTGAGGCAGCACATCACAGGGGAGGAACCCCGTGGAGGAAAAATTGCTCAGCTCATGTCAAGGTCAAGAAGCATAAAGGGGGATTGGAGCTCAGAAAGCACATCCTTCAAGGGCATGCTCCTAGTGACTCAGTTCCTCCAGCCATGCCCCAGCTGCCTACGGTTACCATCCAGTGACTGGTTAGGTCACAGCTCTTATAATCTAATGATGTTATCTCTGAATTACTCACCTCAACAGATGCTTTTGGGGGATACCTCATATTCAAACCATAACATGCTGTTCTTGGCCTTCAAAAGCTCATGTCAATCTCACATACAAAATTAATTCCGTCCATCTTCCAAAGTTGCATGTTTTTAACCATAACAGATACAGCCAGATAGTTGGCCAGGGTGTTCTTTGGCTGATTTTCCTGGGCTTGCTCATGCATTTGCAGTTAGCCTGTGTGTTAGTCGCTGGGAACTTGACTGTGATGGACTCCCTCCATGTGGCCTTTTATCCTTTAGCAGATTAGCTTGACCTTGTCACATGGCTCTCACAGTTTTCCAAGAAAGAGAGAAGATTACCAAACTTCTTAAAACCTAGACTCAGTGCCTGCATTCTATTGGCCTAAGCAAGCCCATACTAAAGAGAGAAACAGACTCCACATTTTCCATGGTGAAGGCTGCGAAGAATTGTGACCTTTGTGATAGCCACAGAAATTTCCCCTGAAACAAAACCAAATTTTACAAAATGAAATTTTCCAAATTACTTTCCCCGTCTGGAGTGTGAAACATCTCATTTGTAACATCACATTTATAAGAGGCAACCACAAAAATGAAAATCAATACTCCCATAATGCTGGTGGTAAAAGATGTAGGAAAGGAGATGAGGAAGCAGAAAAGAGAGTTTAGTTTAAAATCTTTAAAGTTTTCATTTCAGTGAAAATGCTAGTGTCCTAAATATGCATGGGTCACAGCATTTCCACAAATTGGGCACCCCTGAGACAGCACCCACAAGGGATCATCACAATTATGCTTTTTGACCATGCACATTTATGATCATGACTCCAAGATGAACTGCAACCCTACTTCAAACAGCAAAGGTGAGTTTTGCCAGAATTTTAACTTAAAAATAAGTTTGGTGGCACTGGGGTTGTGGCTCAGCAGTTGAGCACTTGCCTAGCACGTGCGAGGCTCTGGGTTCTATTCTCAGCACAACATAAAAATAAATAAATAAAATAAAGGTGTTATGTCCAACTACAAGTAAATAAATATTTAAAAAGATAAAAATAAATAAATTTAGTGATACAATGCATAACCGTCTGTGTAGAGCTTCTTTCATTCACATTTCGATTGGTGGTTTTTCATTGTGGCACATAGATGCAAGTTATGGTCAGAGTAGAATATTTCCCTGAAAATATCATAATTTATTTTTCCTCTCTCATCCTCTTTTATAGTTTTCATTTTGGAAATAGCATTCAGTGGACACTACCATACATAACTTTGCTGGACATTTGGGTGCATATATGTTGGGAATATAACTGAGACTAGAATTCCTGAATCATGGGATATGAACATGTTCAGCTTCATAACATTGCTGAATGATTTTTCAAAGTGGTTTACCAACCTATACTCCTACCCATAGTCCATGAACATTTGAAAAGGTGGTCAAAAGTGGTTCAACATTTTAAACTGCATCAAAACATACTTTCATTCAAATTAAATGAAAAGTCCTTAATGAGAAATTTCTATCAAATTAACAATATGATAGAATATTTTAAAAAATAATTATAATGAAGACATTCCATATTTGTACATGAGAAGAAATAACTTTGAGATTTAGGATTAGAATCATTTTCACATATATATTTTCATATATATATTTATATATATTATTTTCATACATATATTATTACCTTTGTTCCTATTATTAAAAAATACAGGAAAGGTAAATAAATCCTTTTATGCTCAAGTTTGGAAACTGTCAGGAAGAAGATGTAACAACCAATTTTTCAAAAGTGATATCTCCATTTCAAATCAAACATAGTATCTCTGGTTTCACTGACCTTAATTACAATTCTGGAAATTCTGATCACGAAAGATATCTGATTAATGTTCCCAACAAGGCCATTCACACAATGACAAATGACAAAAATTCACAAATATGTTGATTAGGAGCTATAAAGGGGAGTTCTTAACATTCCATATGTGAGAATGCACAAACTGGGAAGACAGAGCTAATGAGAAGTGTTAATATAGCATATAAATAAAGAAATAAGACAAGAAATCCTGCCAATGGCTCTGATATGGCTTTAAGGAACAGAGCCCTCTATTTGTCATGGCTATAAGAAATATTTGAAAATCTTTTACTTTCTGATAAAATTTTACATATCTCAGGAAATTGGAAGTAATTAAGTCAATAAGTCATGCCTTGTTTCTGGAGATAAAGTTATAACCCATGGGGTTCTTACAGATGTGTCCTAAGAGCCCTGAGCTCTGGTCACAGGGAAGGCAGATGTGGGAGATGCCCTGCTTGTCCAGAGAGTGCTGTAAGACAGACCAGCCTCATGGCCTCCCTTGGAATAGACATCTAAAGTCAGGGGCAAGAAGAGTTCAACCCTCGTCAGGAGAAAGCCACTTCATATCTTCTCCAACCAACTCTACCCTGAGAGTTTAAGCTGAATGAATCCTGCCTAGCATCCAAGAGTAGAAGACTGGGATATTGCTGCTGCCACTTCTGTTTTGCCCACTATAACCTAATTGACTAATTTTAAAGTAAATTTCCTGTATTAACTACTTTACACTGCGGGTTGTCTCTGATCAGACTCCTCTAACTCAGGCCTGGTCTCAGGACTGACACTGCTTAATGCCCTGGTCTGTATGTATGAGCAAAGTGTAAGGGAGAACTGGTCGGGCTAAGACTCCTTGTGGTTTTCCTTCATGGACGAGAAGATCTAGAACAGACAGGAAGGGACTCTGAACCACTTTAGTGAATTTCAGCAGATTTTACCTGAATTAAAGTTGAGCTAGATAAAACAACAACAGCATATGTCTGTGGACACAACGGAGCTGTGGTAAGCAAAGTCTTGGGGAAAGAGCATATTTCTGAAACAGTTTTATGGTGTAATTGACAAGAAATTGAAGGAAGCCATTTTGCATTTTTATAAAAGTCCGAGAATTTATGGTTTTTATCATTCAAAACAGGTGGTCAGGGATAGAAGAACATGAAAGGAGGAATCGCCTGTCGGAAGAAGAAATACACAGACACACATTTATATATGCCTGTGTCTCTGCTTTTCCTAAGAATGAGGTGTCTCTCCTGCTGTGTTTTCCTGCTGAAGATGGTGACAGACACATTGTGATCACAAAGGGAGACAGTCCAAGAGGAGGCAGCTAGAGGGACAGGAGAAAACTGTGCCTTTGGTGACACAATTGACCTGAAGATCAAGCCCTAAAACCTCTCTATCCTCTTAGATCACTCAACCCAGTTAACTCCCCCTGTTCCTCTTTGGGCCTCTTTGTGGTCACCATCTTCTGGAACCCTGAGTACCTTTCAGCAGGAAGAACATGTGTCTCTTCAACTCAGTTTGGGAAAGCTGAGATGCTTTTTTCCCCCAGAAGCACTTAGAAAATTTCTCCTCAAGTCTTATTGGCTGGAACTTAGTCACCTGTCGGTTCCTGCCCCTGCGATGATCACCATGGCCAGGAGAATTAAATGTGCTTCTGGGCTTTTGCCAGTCAGGGTTCTTATCTAAAAATGGGAGAGTAAAAGCCTGAATAAAATTCATGATTCTGTAACTGACAGGAGCGAGCAGCCGGTGCTGAGTCACTTAAGACAAGAAAAGCCCAAGACACAACGATTCCATTTTGGTTATATATAATCCCCACAAAACTTACTCCTCAAGGCAATAGTTTTAGAATGTTCATTCATGCTTACAAAAAAAAATTTTTTAAGAACAAAAACAAACCAAAAACAAACATACTCCCTCTCCCAACCTTCTCCACTAATATTAAGTGGAATTGACCCAAAGTCTCATTACTCACATCAAGCTCAGGGTGTACGGTTACAAAGTAATCAGCCATCCTCTGTCTGTGCAAATGGAGCTCTTGTTTTGATTGTTTAACTGGTCTTAAACTTGGAAATGGACAACATGACAATATTCTGTTATTTTTTACATTATACCAAAGGCTTGTATAATAAGCTGGCTTAGCCTACTATGACATTCTTGGACAATGTTGCCATTGATTTGATCAACAATTTACAACTAATAAAAGTGCAGGGTTTAGAGCCCTTTATAGTTAAAGGATAGTTTGCAGAAATTGATATTTTATACTTCTGTAGACTAGTTTGTGAGGTTGAACCACAGTTGATATGGATTATTAAACTGTAGAAAGATACTCAGGTTTATATGTAAATCAATAATTATATTTTGATATTCCTTTCTTAGCCATTTAAATCCCTACTTCTCAGTGTTGTTGAAATAATTTCTTTTGTCTTCCTGCTGATTATCTCATGAACAGGATCATAATATCTTCATCATTTATTTTATGAAGAATTCGGTTTTATCATCTCTCTTGATTGCTGAAAGATATCATTCACACTTACATGGCTTGGGAAAATGAAGGATGACAAACAATGACAGGGGACAGTCTAGTCCAGTGCATATCCCTTCTTGTTGGAATAACAGCAAGTTCTCCCAACTTTGGCCTTGAAGTAGATTATTTAATCAATCAAAGTAGATGCTTTTTGGTTTTGTTTTATTTTTCATGGTCACATCTGGGTTAGACAGTTGGGAAGTTTCTTGTTATAGGTATGCTGTGCTCACTAGGGGCCCATTCACTGGTTTATTTAATTATTCAGACTCTTAAAAAGACTCCCATAGGCCACATTAGGCCTCAGACTCAGAAGGATGTCAGACAAGAATAATTTCTCTTTGGTAGCTTAATTCCAAGCATTTCTCTCTACAGTCATTCCTGCATCAGTAAGCCATGTAATGTTTCACTAGCTACACACATGGGACATCTAACTCAAGGGGTTGAGGGTCATATCAGGTGGGTTCAGGAATTTCCTTGACTTAAAAAACCTTCTGTTATATGTAGAGAATCAGATGTGACTGTGAGCTTGAAAACGTAATTATTATTGCCCTTGATGGAGTCTGCCTGCAAACGAGATATTCTGTCAAGGTCTAGATAAGGTGACAGCAAATCATGCTTGCATATGAGATGTTTTGTTGTCTTTGTTGGGGCTTGCTCGCAAAGGAGAGGTTCCTTCAAAGTTTAGATAAGGTAACAACGGACAGCTTGAAAACGAGGTGTCTGCTGTCCTTGGGAAGACTTGCTCGAAAACGGGATGTTCTGCCAAGTGGGCTAGGAGGGCGCTGAGAAAATTGTTATCTGTTCTTAACAAAGAGCAGAGCTCAGCATGCTCCGGGCCAAGAGTAGATTAAGCCATGAGAAGTGGGTCACTTCTGATTAGAAAGTAAGACTTCTGTATGCTATGTTTAACTAGCCTAAAGACCTGATTTATTGCTGTTGGAAGGCTGCCTTCTTTGTTCACAATACTATAAAAAGATCGCTGTGTACAATAAAGGACTTTTTTACTTCAACAGCTTGGCTTCTTCTGCTTCTTCTTTCTTACTCATGCTGCCCTGCGAGTGAGTTACTGACAACAGTTATATAGTATAGATATGACGTGTCCCCCTAGATTTGTGTGAGACAATACAAAAATGTTCAGAGTCTGAAATGATATTATGACCAGTGGGTTAATCCACTGATATGGATCGACTGGGTGGTAACTGTAGTCAGGTAGTTAGGATGTGGCTAGAGGAAGTAGGTCACAGGGATATGACTTTGGAGTTTATATTTTGTCCCAGGTAAGTGGAACTCTGTCTCTGCTTCCTGGTTGCCATGTCTTGAACTGCTTCCCTTTACCATGATGCTTTGCCTCTCCTTGGGCCCAAAGCTATGAAATTGGCTCACCATGGACTAAACTTCTGAAACCATAAGCGAAAATAAACTTTTCCTTTTCTTAAGTTGTTCTTGCCAGGTTTTTGGTCACAGAGATGCAAAAGCTGACTAAAATACCTCATGAACAGGAGCCAGTATCTCTTGAGAGGAATCAAGCCATAGCTTCCAGGGTCCCCATGACAAGGATATGCTAATTACAAAAATCACCACACACACCCAAGAATGGCGTCACTATTGGAAAAACTATGTATGGTTATTGATTCCCCAAGTTCAGGTGTAATTTTGGACCAGCAATACAATTGGTGCTGTCTGTTTCCAGGCTAACAGACCCAAATTCACCTTACTAAATAGGCCAGATCACTTAAATGAAGTTATTTCCTCAGTGTTCTACATGGGAGCACAGTGTTGTAGAAACCTATTCCATGGTTCACTATCTGGATCCTTGGGGATACTTCATAAGTTGAGCAATCAGAAGCTATTACAGTCTGGCTTGTGGTTTTGTGGTAGTAGAAGCAAATGTGACTCCATTTTGTTTTATGACTTCATCCTGTAAAACAACCATGCCAAGTAGAAGAGTCATGACTGGGGCAAGATGTTCTTTTCCTTTTGCTATAGAAACCTTTAAGAACATAAAACTACCTAACGGGGCATTGTTTCTGTAACTGGGGTGACTGGGCTAACTGTGATTGGTTAGGCTTCCCTCCGCTTGACTGCACTTTCCCTCTTCTGTAACCTGGCTGGCTTGCATTGGCTAGACCCCCCTGAACATCCTTTTGCGGTTTTCAGGCTTATAAGGAGTGCCCTTGCAATTGTTCGGGGCTGATCAGGGGAACAGCTTTATGTTCTGGTCAGCCGCCACCGGTGTGCTTCAATAAAGGCTTGATTGGATTATACGTGAGTGGTCTGGAAGTCAGTTCATGAAATCCTGGGACGAAGCTTTAACTATAACAGTTTCTCTATCCATATACTTTCCAAAAAAGCTTAATGGCCTTTTTTTTTTCTTTCCTTTGGTTTCATCAATTTGGACTAATGATGAAAGCAAAATACTTGAGTCTAAAATTAGGTCTGAGGGAACTTCTGCATGGCCTAGAAGTATACCTGCCGTGCTCATTCTCCTGTTTCTCCTTATGACCTATACTTGGGTTGCCTATAAAAACTGAAATGAGAGTTCCATGAGACTCAGTGACAACCTGCACTTTGTTTCTGGGCTGTGTCCTGGGAATAAAGACATTTTACAGCTGGAATAATTTTCTCTCAGGGACAACAGGGATTTCAGAAGTTTCCTGAATGGTGTTCATCCTAGCTACCCTGAAAGAGTCCAGATAAAGTTTTAACTGGCTTCACTCTTATATGTCATGCTAGCGAGGTCTCTAAGGACTTACGTCTCCATGAGGAGGGACTCCATGGATGTCCTCCCCTTGCAAACCCACCCCCTCATCCCAGCTCTCAGCTAAACCACAGTCCACCCTCCAATGCCTGCTGTGAAGATGCAGCCCTTTCTGCAGAGGAAGCACCACTGTTCTCAGATCTCTTGAACCTCAATATGCCCCAAACTTCAGGCATATCGTGAGTTCACCTCCACTCAGTCCATGAGGATGAACACAGGTTCTCTACTTAAAATTCAGCTTTTCTGCCAGTACGAGCTGCCAGTCTACTTGCTCCTTACCAAACTGCCTAGTAAGTATGGGTAATTTTCAAAGAAAAATATTGATTTTGATCAGTGAAAATACAGGATTCATGTTGATGGAAAATAGGTCCCTAACTGATAGGCTGCAGCCACGCCCTGTCATGCAGTGGCTGCCAGAGACTGTGTTGAGTGCCCTGATCGCCTTCCTGCTCCTCCCGGAGTTCAGCTGCCCCCTCAGTCTCTGACATGCTGCTCTCTTTGTTTGTGCATGCATCTAACAAACATGTTTAAGGCATCCCATTGACAGAAAGATAGAGGTTTTTTTCTTCAGGGAAATTTAATCTGTATGCACTTTAGTAAATTCATGGATAAGTAAATAGGACAAATGTTTACTGAAAATGTAGAGTTGAATAAAATAGGCAAAATCATGCCATTTATGAATTCTAAGTTCTAAGCTAGGAAAACAAAATATAAACAAAGAAAAGATCCGAAAGAAAATAAAGATGATTAGTTGGCATTTTTAGCAGTCAGGTGCCAGTCAGGTAAATTCTGGCACTTTGAATGGTTCAAATGAAAGAATTTTAATGGAAGCAGAACTTAGAGAGGTGTGGGCTGAGCGACCAAAAAGGAGGAGTGTCAACAAGCTCCTAAGATACAGTAGTGACATGTGGGCAGCGGGTAGGAGCCGGGGGCCTGGAAGGATTGTCTTGAGACATATACAAAGTGTGGAGAGAATTAGAACAACATCCTGTCATTAGGTGTGCGCTCTCTCTCTCTCTCTCTCTCTCTCTCTCTCTCTCTCTCTCTCATTTTTTCCTCTCATCTCCTCTTGGCACTTTCATTGTCTGAATCCACCATAATCCAGATGGTAAAAGAAGCTGCAAGATGCAGATGACAGAACCCAGCCTCTCAATCATAGAAGGAGCCAGAGCCTAGATCTGGGAGAGGGGGTGTGGGGTGCACAGGGCAAGCCAGTGGTGGTGGGGTGTGCAGCATGGTGGCAGCCGTAGGATATTTTAGGAATAACAGTCAAGGAGGGCTGAGAGGAAGGTAGCATTTCATAGCAGGCTGGAATGAAGAGAAAGGGCCATGGTGAAAAGCACAGTGTATTAACCCAAAATCACAGGCTGTCAGCTGCATGACTGGTTTGACGTGAGTTCCTGCTGTGTGATCTTGGGTGGGTTTAACCCTCCTGTGCCTCAGTTTCCTCACATGTAAAACAAGTCTAACTGTACCTATTCCATTGCATTGTTTCCAAAACTAAATAAGTAAACATAGATAAAGTACTTAGAATAAAGTTTGACATTTGGTAATCATTCAATGAAGTATTATTTTATTTTAATTTGGGGCAAACCTGTTAGGGTCAGAGCACATATTGAGGGTAAGGGCTTATAGTGAGAACTAAAGTAGTTCCATGGTCCATGAAAAAGGCTAAGAAGGCTGGGAGTAGAGTAAAACTTGTAGAATAATAAGTTTAGATAGTTTAGATATTTGTACTGAGAAATGTATACTGTATATGTATTTGACATCCTCATTGCAATGTTGTTTGTAACAGAGAAATGAGGGGGTAATATGCTGAAAAGTAGAGAATGATGAAACAAAATGTAGTATACTCTTCTTAGGAAAATGTAGCTAAAATGATAGAGAATGGCATATAATATTGACTGAAAAAATCTAGTTTATAAATAAGAAATTACAAATATGATGGTGAAGTATTATCCAATGAAAATATAAGCACATGTGGCGTGTGCATACAGCTATAGAGGATAAAGTGGGAGGCACTACAAGGTCAGGGTGCAGAGTTGAGGGTAGAAGGGTGAAATGCTGATCAAACGAAGGTTTAATAGTCAACAGCGCTCGAGGGAACTGAGGCATCCATCTGTGGAACCTGCTCTATCAGATGCTAAGCCAGGGATCTCAAACCAGGAAGAAATGAGAACAAGTGGCAAGATATGTACAAAATACTTTGCATTTCTTACTTTTGTTCCCTGCCAGGCTCATTAGAACACATTTGGGTTGGGCCAGTTTTGACCCTGAAAGTAAGTACATATGTAGAGGAAGCACGCTGTTTTGAAATTAAGGGTTTCGGTAACCCAAGTGTTCCAATGCACAACATCATGTACACAGGAAGTTGGCTGTGATTTGCTTGATATTAAAAATTGCAAAGCTTCCAGATCAGAGCAACTTCCTCAGCCCTCCATTTTGTTATGAAGGTTTCCATGGAAACAATCAGGCTCAGCACTGAGAGCATCCTACAGCATCTAGTGAACTCTACAGAGAGCACATTTCACATTTGGGATGATTCTCTTTTTGATTCATGTTCCAATACGACCAAAGGCTTCCATGTTGGGCCGAGACCATGTGGTCAGTAACAATTTCCTAACAAGAAAAAAACCTGGAAGTATGAATGCTAACATTTAAGAAGTGTTTGTCTAGGAGTGGACAGAAGGCAAGGTTTTTGTGTATTTTCCTTCTCCTTCTTCACTACTTTGTGTCTTCTATTTTTTAATTTCCTGTTTTAAAATGCCATATTTCTTGTTTATAAGATAAAAAAATTCCCACAGCCACCAAAATTAAAATGCCAGTCTGTTCACATTGAAAAGCTTCCTCTTTGAAACACACCATGTTTCTCTCCACCACCTGAAGTCAGAGACGTGGCTCAGTGTCTTGTTCCCAAGGCTCTTCTGGGCCTCTCACTAAACGTGCACATCTGCAGCACCATTGCCTGATACTCCCAAAGAGGACTTGATGTTCTCAGACCCTTGTCATTTGTAAAACACAGCTTGCTGTTCAGGCCTCTTTGCCTTTGTTCAGGTTGTTTCCTGGGCAAAAACATCTTTTCTTCTGTAGCTCCTAGCACTTTTCATTGTTCTGACTTATTAGGCTTATTTCCTCCAGGCATCTCACCTACTAGTGTCCCCTCCTCCTCACCTGAGGCACAATCCCTTGTCCTATAATCTTGTGTATCAAAGAATCAGGAATCTAGTCTTATTCCTTTTTGCATCTCTAAAG